TTTTAATCATAGACTGAATAAAGATGAATTGAATTGAATAAAAATTTAAGTACATACATATGGGCAGGGCCACCGTCAGTAACGTCACGCTCGTATACATATTTTGGTCAATATCTTTACAAAATACAATTATTTCTCCCAACTTGAGAGCGGCATATGAAAGTTCTCGTCATAACTGTTGTTTCATACGCAGACAATTTTGCTGTATCGTTTTGTTGTGAAGTTATGACCATTTTAAGCCGTCAGTAACGTCACCAGATTTTGGACGTGTGTTTTGAGGTTACTGAACGTTTGTGTAAAGATGAGCGAATTGAAAAGAGTTCATGTTTATTATTGCCCAGTATTTTAAAAAAGGAAGGATGAAAGATGATTTTTATCCAAAAGGTGGGCTTAATATTTTATGTTTTAATCACGTAAATGACATAAAAGCAGTGTCAGTAACGTGACGCAAAATGTCAGTAACGTCACACTTTCGAATTTCGTTAGGATTTTCGGGTCTTTTTTTTCTTGGGTTAATAGAGGGACCCTAAACGGCCAAAAAATCATAGTAGATGAGTTTTAAGATGCAACCTCATAAAAAAAATTGTAGTAAATCGGGCTTGCCCTTTAGAGCTGATTTTTGTATGATAGAGTGTTAGTTAATTAAATTATCTCTTCAATGATTTTGTATAGCTTGAGGGTTGAAATTGGTTTTTGACCAGTTTTTCATCATTAAAATGAAAATTTGTAATTTTTCCCTACTTTTCAGTCTTAGCGGCTATTTAGTACGAAAAATGTCGAATTGACTTCTGTTTTTTTCGAAATATTTGTGAAATTTCCTCCTAAATGGTGATAAAAATTTTGTGTCAGTATTTTGAACTAAAGCCAGGACACTCTGTAAAATAAAAACACATTATTATCGGAAAATAAAAAAGTCTTTATTAATTCCAGTCTTTTTAATTGTTGCAAAATTAAAGCATCACTTCAGTTGTAGTTTTTTTTTAAACATAAATAAACATAAAATATCACAAAAAAAAAAGAAATTTTAATTGTATCCTTGCTGAGAAGTAGTATAAGTTACTATTTCGTCCTCAATGGTACGGATTTGGTTCGAAGACGAAATGTTTTTTTGGGTGTCTTTAACTGATTGTTTTAATTTCCGTCGATATTTTTTGCTTCTTTCGCGGCGCATAGAAATCGCCTTTCCCAATTCACTTATTGGCATTACTTTTTCTTCCTCTTTTCTGTTAGCTCTCAATTTTTTCATTGCTTCGGCCTTTTTCTTTTTGTACTCGTGGTATTTGTTGCTTTCTTTTATTTGTGCACCAGGAATCGGAGTCTAGCAATTAAATACCAAATTAGTAAGCAAAAAAGTAAAAAATAAAATAAAATAAAAACCTTCAGTAACGTCACGCAATCTTTTTTTGCAAAAATACCCTGCTATATGCAAATAATGCATCATTTAAGCATTGATTATAAAAGTACTTCAAAAATACTCAAAAAAAAATCAGCTCATCCAACCTCTTTTCTAATTAGTTAATGCATAGAAAAACGTTTTATAAAAATTTGTCAGTAACGTCACCATTTATTTGCGGCGGATTACTTTAAGCCCTAATTGGTCCAAAAGCCAAGCTTTGTACACAAATTTGCTTGCTAATCAAAAATTTGATTTATATTCTATCCAAAAAAGTCATCATCTGCCCAAAGTACAAAAAAATAACAACAAAATTTACCTTTTTCGCCGACATTGGTATATATTCCAACTACGCCTTGCACGTGCCACTTATGAAAAGAATNATTTGATTTATATTCTATCCAAAAAAAGTCATCATCTGCCTAAAGTACAAAAAATTAACAACAAAATTTACCTTTTTCGCCGACATTGGTATATTTTCCAACTACGCCTTGCACGTGCCAATTATGAAAAGAATGTAAAATGCCAAAGCAGACACAAATTTTGCACTGGCATACAGTGCTGCCATATTCTATACATATTTGACATTTGAAATGTAAAAAAAAATTTGGGCTTTGTGACAGAAAAAAAAAATCTATGTGGTTTCATTTTTCGTGGCCTTGCCGATATGTAGATTTAAAAAGCTGTTTAAATACAAATGTTTTATGAAAATGTCACATTACGCAACTACGTTATTTTCATAAATAAGGCCGTAAACATTACCTTACATCGTCAATTTCCATATTCTATTTTGACTCTTTCAATTTCGCTGACCAGCGCCGCAAACGATATCAACTAACTAGGCTAACAACCAGATTTGAAATTAAACACCCAAGTACTTACAGTACTACATGTACATATACAGAGAATAGATTTGCTACTCCCTTTTGGCAGCAGCAAGCATCTCTCGTACGCAATGAGAGAAAGAAAAGTACCTACTTTGGTGGAGTAATAAGAAGAATGATATAATACTGGATCGTGATACATATGTAATAAATGTAACTAAATTATCCGCATTTTCGAGCTTAACTCCCTAATATGTAATTAGAAAAAGCCATGATCCATACAAAATAATTATAAAATAATCTCAGATTAAGCCGACAACTTTTCGGTGTACAACATAGTTTTATCGATTATATTTGCGAGGAAGAGGACAAATGTCAAATGGGTGTTTCCATACAGCCGTACGCGACATTCGTACGTTTATAGAGTAACGTAAATCTATCAAAAATAGAAGTTACAGAAAAAAAAGATTACGTTTATGTTGCAACCAAAGGGTACTATGTTTGAGAAAAAAATAAGCAGCCTCGAAACGTTGGTGTGGAAAATATCCGTTCAAAACCAGGTGATAACGTACGCGACAAAAAAAGAAGTGGTTTTAAGGCACATATATCTACAAATATGCGAAAGTCTGCGAATCATGAGAGTTTTTCTTTTCTTTAAAAA